GTACTATACTACTTAAATCGTTTGTGTCCATACCCCCCACAAGAAAAACACTCTAATTTCGTGTCTAGGGAATTAGAATAATTTCAATCGGTATTAATAGCTACATAAAAGTGGCTGCTGGAATTATAATTATGTATTGAATATTCAAATTAGACAAGTACCTTATTACCCTGAGGAGGGAAGAGAGGTACTCCCTTTTAAAAGCCATATAGGTATCTTCTGCCCCAGAGCGTATGGTTTTTGCATCAGGTACGTCTGTAAACCAGTATAGGCTTTGGCCTTTTTAAAGTAATAATTTCATGACATTATTTTAAAAAGGCCAATTTGGCATCCAAGGAAGCTACTGCATGGGGGTGTATGAATATATTTTTGTCATTCCAATTCCAAAGAAAAAAGTAATATGCGGAATTGAAAAGCCTTTTAAGAAATTTTGTTGCTGGCATTGTAATCCAAGCAATAATGACATTATTTTTTGCCCATGTAAACATGTGTTTGTCTTTACCTGTAGGTCTGACAGGGTGCAAAGAAAGTCAGTTTTACAGACTGCCAGTCAGGCAAGCTGCAGCTAACATGTACTAGCCCCCAAGTCATTTCAACTTACCTCAAAACCCTTTTTGATTAGCAGGATTGATTACCATCCTTCTGTAATTTGAGGTGTCCCCAAAAAACAGCACTTGCCCATCGGGCAAGTTAACCACACAAATCACTAGCCCGATAGCAAAATCAACTAGCCCCGGGCTATTGGACACGACTTTTTCTGCACCCTGTCTGAAAATGTGTATTATAGATTAAAGCCAGGGCAAGGTTGTTCCAATTGAAGCTGGGTTAAGATAACCCAGGGAAGTTTGAACTTCGATATGCATGATAGCCTAAAAACTAAATTTAGTTTAATTCGCTTTGCCTACAATTTGATGATTGGATACTCTAAAAAGACTAGAGAGAATAATGAGAGAGGGTGCTTTTGATAAAAGGAAAAAGAAACCCGGGTTGAAATGTAACTGTGGGTTAGCGCTAACGGGCGTTTGCACAACTGGGCCCAGCTCTCAAAATGAGTGTAGCAAATTTTCTTTTTTTTTATTTATTAAAGAATTTCTTATGTATTCATACCAAATAGAAATTGAGAAAAAAAGAAGAAGAAGAAGAAGAAAAAAGAAGAAAAAAAATGAGTGTAGGAAATTATATTCTTTGATCTGAAATAAGGTTAGGATTTGGTGGACCGGGTGTCACATCCCCACTATTAAGTATTCCCAGTTGCAACCCCACTCCTCTGTGGGCTTATCTCTTGTCGCCATCTCAGTTGGGACTATGTTGTATAGATTTACCCATTTATTTTTGCGGTTATAATTTACCGTAAAATTCCAAAGACGGACATATGTGGGAGGTATGGCCACGGGCATCACATTTATAGCATCCTGTTAAAAAGTCAGAAATTAACTTGACAAAAAATACATGAGCCACATTTCATTAACAGTTCATGAAATATTAACAAAATAAGAAGCAGTGCAAGAATTAAACTTTATCAGTAACGTAAAATATTCCTCTTTTCAGTTAACCTTTACATAAAGAAACATAACACTTGCCTCTCCCTCCCTGCTCCAAAGATCGGCAATAGTTGATTATTGTGTTTTTCAGATATTGGTACTGAACTTCTTCTTTGTTATGTACACCATACTTTATTAACTTTACAAATAACAAATTAAAGCAAAAGACCAAGGTATTTAAGATAGGCGTTTGGGGCATATGACGCAGGTTTTGTTTTGTTTTGTAATGAAAGTGATTTCGTACTATCTGCGAAAGGGTATCTTTCTTTTAATACCCCGAATCTCCCTTACCTGTATTTAATGCAATACGGATAAATTTAACGTTTCGGCCAGGAGCACATCAACATTTATGTAACACAGAATGGTTAACTTCTTTTTCCCCCTGCCGTCGTTTCTGTAAAATACAGCGAAAAGTACCATAAGAACGTTGTTTTTCAAGGATTATTTTAAGTTGTAGCCCATTGTTGTTACAGGGGGATATAAGAAAGTCAGATTTTCAGTATTCTTCATTTGTAATAATAATCACAGTTTGTGACACAAAAATAACCAAGGGTAAGGTTTGAAGGGTTCGATCGTGAGGATGATGAGTCCAACCCAGTTTTCCACGAGCATTTTCAATATGTCATGGACAATAATGGCTTATCCCACCCCACAAGCATTCATGAAGCTGGAGTCCTTTTTGAGAAGCTTATCAAGTTTGCAAAAGGTGACCTCTAAATTACCTTCCTTTTGTGAACTGGAAAATCACTTCCACAAGGACTCCTGTGTAGAATGGCAGGAAGCAGTAACAGTACTTAATGCACTTCTATTACATGCAGCCCAACTTTAATATGATTTTCTCGCACATAACAACAGTAAACGGTGAGGGCAGTCTCTTGGGTGGCATAATTGGGTATCATTCCTCTTTTCAATTGTTATGAAAGCAAATTGATGTGCATTTACTTGCACCAATGCATTAGTTGTTTGAGAGATACTGAGAATTTTGAAGCAAACCATCTCCACTGACCAATGTATGTCACCCAAAGAAACAGGCAGCTAAAAAGTTACTGAATTTTAATGATATTTGTTGACCCAATATCACTAGTTATCAGCAGTATATTGGACTGAAAATAGCTTTTACCAACATTTCTTTATGAACTTTTGTCTTTCCAAACTGTTTCACTGATAACAAGTTACAGAATTTCCACAATTTTTTGGGGGGAGCACAATACAATTAATTAATAAATGCTCAGTTCCTCCATGGTGGGACTTTGCAGCCATGCCAGTGTTGTTTTAAATTTGTAAAAGCTTGTTTCAAAACAATTAAAACCTCCGCAAAACCAAATGGGTGAACATGGACCTTTTACACTGTTGCATTGATTAAAGGAGAAAATATGCCATCATGCGGAGTCCTTACAACCATTTTTTTTGTCTTGTCACGCTTAGTTCAACCTCGGATGATGCCTTTCAACAACATTTTATTTCAACAATAACTGGTATTTTAAGAGTCAAAGTCATCTTTTAAGCTCTACCAAAGGTCTTTTCATGTGTTATTGCAGTGTCCATGTTAAATTTAAAATCACTGAAAGTGGTCATATGAGCAACAGGTAACTGTATCCAAAGGACACAAGTAGAAATGGTGGGGAAGCAAATTTAGTGGTCGTTGCTGCAATGAATAAACTTTACTGTTATGCCAAAACTGTTCTTCTCTGCTGGTAAAAATGGCGTTGTGGTTTTCCCAGTAAGAAACTGAAAAATATCTTTCACACTCCCAATGCTGTTGGTAGAATCACTCACTGTGTAATAAGATGAAAAATACAAAAGCTTTTAGTATTTATACTAGACCTATCAGTTCTGGTTTAAATTGGCTGATACATGATGCTCACAGCTGTCTTCTCTTTCTTCAACATATCGATTGAAATAAGCCATTATAGCTGTTTCCTGTAGTCTCTTTGTTGATCCTGACTCTGATTATTCAGCTGTTAATGAGTTCATCAAAAATGTAGATGTCACCTGCATACAAACCAAACCGTTTACAAAGCTACATGTACAGGGTGTTTCAAAAGTTCGTTCCGATTGCAAATTGTATTTGCGCGTAGAATTTAATGCTTCCTTCAGGTAGGAAATTTGTCTAAATAACCGTTCAAAGCAATTGCAAACTAAAATTTGAAGAAATTTTTTAAATTTTTTCCCCAAACGTGCACCTGCGCGAATCTTTTCCCGCCATAATTTTCCTGCCCATTTTGTAGGTTTTCTATTTTCGTTTTTTTGGCGTTTTATTTTTGTTTTCTCTACTCTTTCACGAAAATGAAGGTGTACACTGTTTGTGCTAAAGCTCAGGCATCTATTTTTACGGTACTCTGTCCATTTAGTCAAAGAAATTGTCATATTGTTGAAGAAGTCTGAACGATGAGAGAATAAGTGGTCAAGAGTAAAGACCTTACAAGACAAACCAAGGAGGAGATAGCCGGTTTTTTTTATAAACTGTGTGAAAAATGTTACCGAAAAAGCTGTAAGTATATGCGTAATAATTCATCAAGACTGAAAGGTAAAAAAGAAAACTTCAACTTCACAATATCAAAGTTTCGAGCACAATGGTATGGAGATATGTGACCAACAAAGGATGGAAAGCCTTGAAGAGAAAAAGGCGGTGCACACTTCATGCAGGCATGGCATCAGAAGAATTTGCAAACTTTATACCAAAGGACGACCGGCCGGCAAACTCACGTGATGTGAACTCTCTAGTAACCATCTGGATTATTGTTGATGAGACAACATACAAAGATCCAGCTCCCATAACACTGGACTAGCTAAGACAGCGACCACACTTCACCTGGAAAATGGTGAATTTAGACACGCTATGGGAGCTTGTACATTCTATACCTCACCGCTTAGAAAATGTCAGAAATCATAAATGAAGACATTCTGGTTGCTAATATTTCAGTTAGTCAATGTTAAATGAATAACGAATAACATGCTTAGGTTTACAAAAGTTATCTTTAATAATCATTGAAATTTAAGTGAAGAAAAAATCGGAACGATCTTTTGAAACACCCTGTAGTTAGTTCTTACGGCTAGATAATCAGTACTTAGCTTCACATGTCATATTGAATTACAGCATGTAATCATAACAATCTATCTATTGCTGTCCAGGATTCCCCTCAATGGCTGCGTGTTGTTTTTGATCCCATAAGTTAACACACAGACAAAATGTCCTGTATATTGATTAATCCATGCAAAAATTTGAGTAATTTTATTGAAAGTTTGGGAGAATCATAAAATTTAGCCGCAGTAAATAACAGCAGACAAAGGACACAAAATGAAACAACTCTAAAAAAGACAACAATAAAACATATCTTGGGATACCATACTGGTCTGTACACTGTACCTTACAATAGTCTCTTTTTTCTCCAAGGAAATTGTGGATGTAAAGCAAGTATTCATTAAAAGATCCATGTTTGCGTCATCTTGGAAAATGGCTTACAGTTCTTCTTTACTGTTCACTTCTTTTATCTGGTGACATATCATTTTCAGAATTGGTTTAATATTTAAGGAGGCTCAAAACAGTTTCAGTACTTTATAGCACATATACTTTGCTGGGTCAGTGCTACAAACATTTATCAGTTACCACAACAAAAATGGTATCAAACAAATGCCCAATCATTGATAAACAAATTGTGGTTATTTTCTTGACGTCACCAGTTTAAACTGCTCCGCAGAAATTTTTTTAATTTTGCAAAAAGTTGTACCTTAACATGCTGATCATTATTCAATAGTACAAATGGGGGTCACCGGACTCGTTTTTGAGTTATAAGCACTTAAAGATAAAATTAAGGGTGTTTTTAACGGGTTATACCGTTGCCACGGTTACTGTTGACGTCAAGAAGATAACCACAATATCTTTATCAATGATTGGGGATTTGTTTGAAACCATTTTTGTACCAGTGACTGATAAATGTTTATTATTATAGCACTAACCCATCAATGTATGAGAGCCAGAATGTGCTGGAAACTGTTGTGAGCCTCCTTAACAGTCTTAAGTTTGTTAAGTTTTTATACATGTATCTATTGCATACTTTGAGTATCTTATTCTGCTGTTTCTTAGCATTAAAATGTCTGCAAATGTCATCCGTTAGTGTGAGTTTGGGAAAAAGGTTAAGTACTGCCATCGACTTTCGCATGCAGCAGATCTTTAGCATGAATTTTGAAAGTCTTGCTTGGAGTTTCTTTTGTAAAATCATAAGGCTATATAAAGGCATATAACAATAATTGTTGCTATCCTTATTCTTATGAACAATTTAAATCAATTCTGCCCATACAAATGTGCAACTTTTTTTTCAGCTATTAAAAGAAATATTATTACCCTTTTCACTAACGTCCTGATGTCTGGATTAACAATGTCATCTTCTACTAGTGGAATGGTTGTGACATCAGGAGTACACAGATAGCGGTATACCCAGTTGGCTAAAAAGGCGGGTGGTGGACCCTCCTGGAGAATTGACATTACCATAACTTGCCCAACAACTTTGAAGGAGCCATTCTCCACAGCCTCAACATGGGGTCCAGGTGACAGACCACTAAGTTCAGTGCCCTCGAATAAGTTGGTCTGAATTGCAGCTATAAATGCTACAGGAAGCAATGTTAAAAAAGATTTGAGGGAATAGATTTCAAATCATGGTAGTTGAATGTTTGTAAAGTGAACATATTTACAGTACACACAGTCGTGCATGCCTGGTATTAATTTTTATGGGGAAAGTAATATAATTTTTTTCTGTCCTATTTGTATCTTTAAAATCACAAAGTCACAGCCATTCATAAGGAGTTTTCCAGGATGTCACACTGATCAGAAAACAACTTTCACTGGCCTGTTACTGTCAATGCCAATACCGTATTTACCCGCGTATAATGCGCACCCGTATATAATGCACACGCTAATTTTCAAGACACTTTCTAGAAAAAAATTGTAATTCCTACTGTTATTAAAGCCACAAACCGAAACTTTCTCAGCTCAAAATACAACAAAATATTCTTCATTATAACAGTTTATTACAAGTAAACTTCAAGTTTACAGAAGAAAATCGCGACCTTTTTTACAATCTTTGTTAAACAGCAATAATGATATCCTAGTGGCCCATTTGCCATAATGGATCGTGCAAGTGAACAGTGATTGAAATAAAGATACTTGACAACATTGTCTTTAAATACCGATTGTTGTTTATTGATTGTAATTAAACAGCTGTGATAGGTAGTTCATATTCTTGTGATAACAAAAGTCCTGGAAACAGCCATTTAAATCACCGCTATTTTTTTTTTGTTTATGCAAATGAGTAGCGCTTGGGAAACAAAAGGTTCCGTGTATAATCCACAGCGTATTTTTCAGCCTCAAATGTAAAAAAGTGCGCATTATACACAAGTAAATACGATAATGATAAATTTGCACATATGATTGCAATAACGCTGTTCATGCTAAACTACTTTCAGCCAGTCACGTCCAATTCAATCTGGAGCAATACATTATTATTAGTAGATTATTAGTGTTGAAAAAGGTAGAAAGGACTTTCAGGTAGCCTGTTTGATAAAATTGTCTATACAATTTATCGAAAGATTGTAGGGGGGTGGCACCCTCCCTAAAGTTTTGGATACCCACATTTCAGATCCTGGCTTACCAGATAAAAATTCCTTTCGAAGCCCACCAGTGTCTATCCCCGACTCTCCAAAGAACTGCACTCTCAAGAGACCCAACAAACTTTTTTTCCGTTGTAGCTGCCTGATGCCATCCAGCAAAACATCCTGCCTTCTTACTCTAACTTCAATTCCCTCAGGCCGTTTTACTTTCATGTATAGCATGCTTGAGATATCATCAAGGCTGAGGAAGAAAAGATTGCTCAAAATATTATTCTGATATAAAATTTGCTTAACTTACTCAGATCAGTATCACTTACAAGGTAATTAACGTGATAAAAAATAATTTATATCTTCACAAGGAGGTTGGTTGGCACTAAAGTTTGATAATGGAAAAAAAAGAACATAATAAAAATAAACCAGAAGAAGTAAGAGAATGTCTTAGTTCATAAAAAATATATACTGTAAGAAAAACCTAGATGCAATGAATATTTGACAAGTAATTTGCAATAGATGTCTTTCCTCTACTTCCCAGAGTAAGAGGCCAAGAATACTAGCACATGGCACAAAAGCATTACTGATCGAAAGTTTCAACTGATTACCAGAGTTGGGAACTTAGTCAAAAGCCAGGTGGATTCAATAGATTCTGTTTTAGCTGCTACAAAGAATCACAGCTGCAATACATCCACTGTTGCTATTTTTCCGAAATCCACACATTGAATGGGAAAAAAGATAGGAAGAGTATTTTTAACAGTTTCAAATTGAGCAGAGGTGTGTAATAACTATTTCATTAGTTCAGGAGGAAATTGCAATTTGGCACGTCACAAACAAACAAATTTGAATGAAATAAATGTACAGCTATTGTTTATAAATGGAATAATGCATAGTTCTATAAATTATCCATACCTCCCCGGACAGAAGGGATTTTTCTAAGCCCCCCCTCTAGAAATTTTAATTAAGCTTCATACATTTGCTTAAAGTTTTTGGCCTTTGAGATCCCTCCGAACCCCAATTCCAAATTCCAATCCCTCCTATGGGGGAGTATGGACATTTTCTGGAACCATGCAAATGAATGTCCAAGCTTCAATATGGTTTGTTCTCACAGGTGAGGTGGTATCTCAACTGCCCTCCCTTTCGCCCAGTTTGGATTACATACCTATAAATGCCATCACTTGGTTCACTGCTTGAAAAAGCTGGGAAAAGATTTTCAGCAGCTTTATTCCTTGAGCTGGTATTATCAAGGGCTTGGGCAATTTCCTCCTCAGAGTTACTTGGAAAGGTTTCTTTTAAAGTTTCTATAGCACTTGAAGAAGAAGAAGAAGAATACTTTATTTATCCACGGTTGTCTCATCAGGCATATCTATAATAATTAATTAAAATTTAAAATTTAAAATTACAACTAATTTTATACATTACTACTTTACTTATTTACAAATATAAAATTTAAAATATAAAACCCTGCTTTCCACGAGAGCCGTGCATTACTAATCTAAAAACTATAACTAATTGTAGTAAAATGACCCGACTACCGCAGCCCGGCTTTGAAGCTTTCTAGTGTTTTTGCTTGCCGTAACCCAACTGGCAGACTATT